GGCCTCCGCGGCGGCGGGAGTGGGCCGCCTCCCGGCACCGTCGAAGCCTCCCTCCGCCCACGAGGCGCGAAGACGCCGGGCGAGATCCCTGCGACAGTCCTCCGGGGACTGGACGGCCAAACCCACGCAACCCACGCAGCACTGCCCTGCAGCAGACTCCCACCCAGGGCGACCCTGTCGGCCCGAAGACCGAGTGCGACTGCCCTGTAGGGTTCCAAAACTGGACTCTAGCGAAGCACGTGGTTACATGGCTCGGATGGCAGGCATTTCGTTAGCTGCCTGGTGCTTTAACCGCTGTGCACGAGGGTCTCTTGGAGGGCGGCAGTGGGACTAGGAGACAGGTTCAGACAGAACCACCTGTGGAGCTGAGGAGAGTGGGGATGGAGATACCTAGGTCTCAGTGGTAGTGAGTTTGAGGTCTGACCTGCAGAGGTTCTTACTGAGTGGGTCCTCGTTAATTGGGAGGAAATTTCAGACCATTCTAATATCAGGTTGAGAATAACTACAGAAGTAGATGCAGTTGAAACTAGAAGAGAGGAAGGGGTCTGACCTGCAGAGGTTCTTACTGAGTGGGTCCTCGTTAATTGGGAGGAAATTTCAGACCATTCTAATACCAGGTTGAGAATAACTACAGAAGTAGATGCAGTTGAAACTAGAAGAGAGGAAGGGGCGGGCAAGGATTTCTTAGATGAGTGAAGAACAAAGCAGATGAGACCAGAGCTGCAACAGTTGGGAGACTAAAATCGACGCATGTTTTTGTTGAATAGTTGGAATTAGGCAAGTTTATAAGGTTACTGAAAACTAGAAATAAATTTTGATTAAAGAGCTTTAAAGGCATTTACCTTTAAACATAAAATTAATGAAACAAGACAATCCCAGTGATAACCAAAATATTTTATTCAGGGATGAAGAACCTGACCTCTTCCATTTAAAATTCTTAATGTTATAAAAGCCTTAGGGAACAGAAAATGTAATCAGCAAGCCAAGAATCTGAAATACGAAGACAGATGCGGTTTATCAATAGCAGAATGGGCAGGACTGAAGAGTAAATTAACACAAAATGCAACAGATGGAGAATGGATCTAGGCTAAGGTGACCAGATTTTAACATTGGTAAAGCGGGACGCCATTGATAAAACGCATATCCTGGCGAAATAGCCACATGACAGCCGAAAACCGTATACCCTAGCGTGTCATGCATTCTTTCCAAAAATTGGGACTTTTTTAAAACGCCACAGTACGGGGACAAATTGTTAAAAATCAGGACTGTCCCGCCAAAAGCGGGACGTCTGGTCACCTTAATCTAGGCATTCAAACATTTGACAAGTTACAGAAAGAGTTGTGGGTGAACGACCATTCCGTTCACGTATTTCCTGTTCCCTACGTGCTCATAATATTGGTAACATTTGAGACCCCAGAAATGAGTTTTAACTTGAAATGAGTGATCGTCACTGAAGAGTTTGGTATTTCATCCCCACCCCCACCCCCCACCCTCACCCCAGAACAGTTATTTATAAAGATCATAAGACTCTGGGGAGAGGTTTCAAGAAAGATTCGTAGTACTTAGGTTTCAGCAGCATCCTCCTTCAAGAATATTTGGCCTTAATTTATGACAAAACAATGATTTGTGAAGTATGGAGGGCTCATGAGGGAGGGGGCAGTGGGGAGGGAGCGGGAAAATGGGCAGCTGATATTAGGGGCTAGAGTAGAAGGCAAATGTTTTGAGAGTGATGAGGGCAGCGAATGTACATATGTGCTTCACACAATGGATGTATGTATGGATTGTGATAAGAATTGTACGAGTCCCCAATAAAATAATTCTAAAAAAAAAAAGAATATTTGGCCTAAGGTGTTAGAGCAAAGTGTGAAGAAACTAGATGGTGCCTGGCTATCAGAAAAAATAGCATCTGGTTTCTTAAAAGGCTTGTTTTCAAACAAGCAGCCACCTAAGCAAGATGACAAGTAAGTCCACATAGAAGAAGCATACTAGCCTGTGTGATCTCAGGATTGTGAAAAAATATCCACATCTAAAAGAGGGAATGTCTTAAGAGGTTGAATTGTGAACACATCGTTCACAGATGGTCACTGAATTCTGTGGAAATCCAAATCCATTTGCAGGGTCCACACATGGGTATAGCCCTCCTCCGGTGACTCCCCTCACCGCATAGTTGAGGGAAGAGAATAACCCTGTAAGGGGGAGAGCATCAGAAAGTCAATCACAGCAGACAGAATTAGGTCAAGTGTAATATCATTTGATCTCCCTTTAGATCTATTTTAAAGCTGTTTCGGTTTTTTTTAAAAGTGAAGGAGAAATATGTGGATCAAACCCCTGGGGAATCCTGGCCATGGACCAGGGATGTGAATAGCCTTGCTATACATGCATAATACATTGGAAAGTGGACTGTTGCAGATGCAGTTAGGTTAAAGCTTGGCACCCTATCATTTGATCTTCCTTATGTTCCATTTAAAATTGTTCTACTTTTTACTGTTCTCTGCTTTCATTTTTATTGTAGTTTTTATCTGTTTTACTTTGTTATTGTTAGTTTTTTGCTGCTATTTGATTTTTAATATTCTTATGTATATGAAACCCAGGATAGGTAAATACATAGAGAAAAATCACTGGATTTATGGTTCCTTTGGGGTATGGCCAGGGCAGTTTGGGGAAATTGGGGAGCTAATGAGTACAAGATTGAAGAAAATGTTCTGATTGTACAACTCCTGGTGTGACTGAAGTATTGAATTATATGCCAATAAACTATTGGGGGAGAAAATTGGGCCTAACAGGAAGACACAGGGAATTAAAAGCAACAAAAGTAAATACTATGCCAAAACCAGAATTGTGCAAAGCGGAGCAGAGCTTTCATAGTACATATTTTTCCCACTAGACCAGAATTTAGCAATTTG